GCTCGTTCCGCGTCTCCTCGGTCGCTCCGTACGGTCTCAGAGGTCCATGGTGGCTTCTCCGGCACGGATCTGCTTGAAGTAGTGCGGCCTCGGTGAAAAAAAAAGATAACACATTGAGAAGTCCACTGAAAAGAACGGAGCTGCCGCTGTATGAACTTGAGAAGAGCTGTCGCTGTGCATGACATCAAGACATTGGTGATTCCCTTCAGGGCCGCCAAAGCAAGCGTCCAAGTCAGGTGTTGCCCCAAAGGATGGTGGCGAAGCATCTTTTTCATGCGAAACAGCTCGCTCATGCTCGCTCTGCTTTTCATGCTGTCTTGCATGCCCAGCTGCTTGCAAACACGAGCGAATCCACTTTGCATAAACGAGGCGTTCAGAGGATTTGCATGCGTCACATTATTTGGCCAACCGGATGCAAAAACAAGGTCATGTTCATGGACTATCAAGTGTCCATGTTGGGGAATTAAGATGTGAGGGTCACAAGTTATCTGATTTCATCTTTGCCGCATCCGCAACAGAACATGCCGTATAAACTTGTATACTACTGTCTAATGACTTAGGCCAACGTGATGCAAGTGACATACCAATCTGGCTACCCCCAGGGCTAAGTCATGTGCCCTGACATATCGAGCTGAAAAAAGGTCTGGGTTGGGAAACCTGGTGTCATAGGACCTGTGGACACCTCCTCGACAAAAAATGTAAAAAAACAGCTAAATAATGCTAGATACCACTGCCTGGCACCCTGGTGACACAGTGGTGACATAGGGTGCGACTATGTGTTTTTGCGGGCGCTGCTTCCTTGAATACCTCATACATATTTCTATGAATATCATGGTTGTGGCCTGATGACATAGGCCTTAAGAGGAAATGCCAATGTTGGATCAATCCTGATGACATAGGCTTTTGGAATTGGCGTGTATGTCCGACAAGTCCTAAGTTACTAGTCAGTAGTATAAATCTATGAGAGAATGATTCCTTGGACATCAGCCTCAAAATCAGTCAATCAATGTTGATCCAATACAGAACACCTTCCAAAGCGTGATTTTCTAGATGGTAAAGAAATGGAAGGGGCCACCCAAACAAGCACCTAAACCACCAGGTGCTCTGGCGGCTTGCACCTGGTTTGAATAGCAACCAGTCCTTCTCCGCCTTTAGTCCGCTGTTTCTCCAGTTTGCCTTCACGAACGTCCTCCTTCACCGTCTCCACCCCTCCCTCCATCGAAACATGTGCCCCGACGCAAGCTCCAGCAGCCACTCAGGCTTGATGCGGGTGTTGTGCAGCAACATGGCCTCCCGAGCCACGTTTCTCCCCAGCTGGGGAGAGGGCGCGTCGACTTGAACGCAGCGGAGACAAGGCACAATTCAACAATGACACCACAGGAGGCCGCAGCATGGTCAGGAGGAAGAAGAAGGAGCACTTACAGTAGGGACTTGAAGGAACGAGGGTTCACTCTCGTCAGTGAGTTGGAGGGTACCTCAACTTCCAACACCAATCCTAGCTTTTTGGCTTGGCTGTGCAGACCTCGTCTTTCAGACCCGTTTTAATGAGGTTGAAAATGAGTGAGAAGACGTCCAGGGCATGCACATTGCCTCTTGAGATGCTTGCGTCTTGTGTGTCTAAAGCCCGTTTCTTCCAGATCTACCCTCCTGGAAACTCACATGGAACCAGTGGTTTTCAGGGTCCATATGAGTCTTCAAGCAGGGTAGTCTATTTATGACTATAAGGAGCTGCCATGAGTCACACTGTTTAATTCCTTCAAGCGGGTGGGTTGACCCGACAAGGAGCGGAGCCTCCATGCTCCGGAGCGCCCCGGTCAGGTGTTGCACGGTCCGGCGCCCCGGTCAGGCACTGAGGCCAGACTGGCGATGTAACCAACATCCAAGTCATCGAAAGTCATTACAAAGTGGTATCTATTCTAACATAATTATGTATAATATTGATATAAGATGTGGTTGGTTTTGAAACACATGCATAATGCTTCTGTTGTTGTTTAGTTTGTCTCTATTTGTATTAACGCGTGTGGATCTCGTCCGCAGGTGTGTACACCAACCTCGTGGATCAAAAACATACTGCAGCACAGTTCATAAATCCCAGGTCTGGAACCTTCTAAACAAATCCCTCTGACTCTCAATTCATCAAGGTCCAGAACCCACCACCCCTCCACCCCTCCGCATCGTACCCGCCTGGTCGCCGCTGCTCTGGGCCTCGGCGAAGACCACGAAGTCGGCGGCCGCATGGCCAGCCACCTCCGCGTCGCGTCGCTCGCGCCGCGGGAGCCGTTCGGCGGAGAAGAGACCGTTCGGGCCCGAAGTTTTGGGAGCTGAATTCGTGGCATGGCAGTGGCAGAACACGCCAAAATGGATAAAAACATGGAGATGGAACAGCCGTTTTCCTGGTCGGAACCCTACCAGCTTTCCGAAAGCCGGAAGTATGCTGCTTCCTGACCCACCAAGCATTGAGCCAGAAGCATCCAGAAGCTTGGTTGGGCGGGGCCCGAGTTTCTCATACTTTATCAAGTCAATGACGCTCGGTTCGGACGAAGCAAAAGGAGGCAGTGGTTCGTTCATGGATAGACGTTCACAGGATTCAGGATCCTGGTGCAAAAACAGAACCCTGAACTAAAGAGGGGGAAGGAAGAATGAACTCGTTTGGAGCCCAGTAACCCATTGAAAAAGTTTCTGTGGGTGATTGTACAACAAAGCAAGTCCAAAGACTCGCAACCCAAGCGGAGTCTTCGTCAAAACCTTGGCCAGGACGGAGTCGTAGTGCAGCTGGAAACGCGAGTGAGGCGCCTTCTCCTGGTCCCGTGCGAAAGGTCTTTGGCGAGCGACGTCCGAAAGGTGTTGCTGGGCGCTTTTGTCAGTCACATCATCACAGATCAAGCTGATGACACCGGTGAGGTCTGTAAACATCAAGATTCCAGAAAAACGCTGCTGGACCATTCCGTTGGGATGTTCACTGCCCGAGTGGTGTAGTCCATTCGTGACCCCGAACGGATGGTCCTGTCTGGTGTTGTTTCTTGAACTCCAGGTCTAAAGATACTAGGCTTCAGACTTAGCTTTACTGGCTGAACCATCGAATGGTGTCAAACCTATGGGGAAACAAATCCTCTTCCAGGCCCTACAAGAACTCACTAGCCTAAAACTCAGATTCCCGCCAAGTAGAATTTGCGAAACCCTGAACTTCCCTGAACCAATGAGTCCTAATTAGTCTTCCTTCCTTTTGCCATGGTCCTTGGAATTCTCCCCATTCCCAAAATAAACACCTTATAAGTAAATCAATCCGTCGCGACTTCCGCGGTACAGTAGTTGGCTGCTGATTTCATGACCCGAACGACTTTCAGGCGAAAACTCTCTCGCTGGTGGTTCCCTGATGAGGCGTGCCTCATCGATGGCCCGGCCTCAAGAGATGGCACCCCAAGGACGACGGGGGCTTCAAGTAGTGCGCACACAGGATTAACCAACCTTCCAATCCCTCCAATCCCAAGCCTTGTTGACCTGGTTGACCTTGAAAGGGAGGGTCGATTAATCCGGTGTTGGCATTGACATGATCCATTCATGTAAGTGGGGAGTTCCTTAGAGTCCTCAACCCACCGTGCTGCAAAAAGCACACCAGCAGGAGCAATCTTGGCAAACGGGAATGTCCACCAGCTCCTAGCCGGTCACAACATATCAACGTCTGGGATGCGGCTGAGTGATTTCCGTCCGACCACCAACACGAGGATGCCGGAATCATCTAGATTAGGTGCACAAAGAAAGCCACTTTGGAACAAGAACGACTTCAGCATGGCTTCAACAAAAAACAACTCTGGAAACAACGACTCAAGCTCACGGCCTTCAAGTTTCAGTGAATGAATGACTTTCAGGATCCTTCAGGTGTACGAAGAAGCAACAGCTACAGCATCGTATGTCATGATCAAGTCACTGCACGTCCCAGTACCTTGGCCAGGCTAGTAAGCTGTTCTTTGTTCGCTGCTTCACTTGGCAAACGCTGGACATTAGCTCCAGTGCCGCGACATGGCTTCCAAGTGCCAACCATGGAGTGGCTGGCTCTCTGCGTGCAGCTTGCGCTTCTCTTCGAAATTGTACGTAAGAAGCAAAAGAAACATAGAGAGAGAGAGAGAAACAACAAGACCACAGTAAGTTACTTAGTTGGTTTTATGCACCTTCCAACATCTTCCAACTATCTTGTGCAGGGGAACTTCAATCAAGGTGAGGGTGGGTTTTTGCAGCTTTTGCATTTTCATCTGCTAGCTGTTCTATCCAGGGCAAATCATCGAAGAGGAGCGGCAACATTGCGCTCAGACACACATACTGTCTATCCTACGAACTGGTTTTTGTCTGCTCCTGAGGATCGTCCATCTGCTCCGGCGGTTTCGGCAGCTTGGCTCGTCCAAAAAATAACGCCCACACTTTGGAATGAAAGTGCCCATTTTGGGGCTCAAGATTGGTCATTTGTGGTTTTATACAGCATCTCAGCGGCAGGTTTCGACGGATGATAGTATTCGACAGATTTGGCGACGATCTTCTCTATGGTTGGGTTGACATGCACGACGCACTCTCTGAGATGTTCAAAGCTTCCTGGTACCGACTGGGTGCTGACTTGACGCGTGGCCTGAAAAGCCTTCGAAGCCTTCAGAAACAAACTGCCACAAACCATCATCCATCCATGTAATTATGGAATAGTTGCACGTTGCTTACATGGGGAATCATCAATGGGGTCAATGACGGTCAATGTATGCATCGATTCATGGGTGTGCCTGGGTCATTACATAGGATGGTCGGATGTGGGAGCTGGCCCTTCACATCAACTTCCGAAAGGGAAAGCCCAAAGTCAGGTCAGTTAAACCACTTTATTGGGCTCCAAACCCTGTCCTTGAGATGAACACCTTTAACATTGACCATTCCCAGAAAATGTGTGTGTGTACTACAGTGTGTACATGTGTGTACCATTCACCTCTACTACTGTAACCATTGTGTCACCAATCTGTCTAGGACCTCTACTCACTGTGCTCCTTTCGACCCAAATCCCCAGTTGTTCTATCCTCAGGCGCGCAGCGCAGAAAAAACACTCGCTCACTCACTCCATTCAGCTTGCTCAGCTTAGCCCAAAGCCCTGCAGCACCACGGGTCGATTCCACCAGAACATCGGCGAGAGCGAGACATCAGAGGCGAAACATGAGAGCGAGACATCTGGGTCGGATGGAACGGATTTCATGGACACAGGAGTTCCTCTCATCCATCGCAACAAAAACAGCATGAAGTTGGGGGGACCTCCTTTGGTGGGAGAAAATCCATCCTTTCTTCTCCAACTCCAAAAACTACTCCAACCCAGCTGGCGCCCAAAACGAAACCATCGCCCCCGGTGGGGCGATGGTTTACCGTGTTTGCCCCCCCGGTCGGTCGCTCCTCCGTCTCGGTGATCGCCGCCAGCAGGCGCTCGCGGAAGACCTGGGGAGACCCGGGTGGTTTCGGTGTGCGGAACGGAACTCTGCGGCTACTGTGGCATCGAAGCTGCTGTGCCAACCAAGGAAAGAGTGATGTCACAACCACGTGATTGAGAACGTGATGGTGCCGGGTTCTGTTCTGCCCATGTGAGCAGACTGCGACAAGGAATATTGAACCTTAAGGTGTCCAAATCACGAGCAGACTGCGACAATTGATGCGACTTCCCCAGCATCCTTTCCCTAATGGTAGGGCCTCTTTTTACAAAAATCGATGCAACTTCACCACTTGACTGTAGTGAGAACACAAAATCATTGAGAGAATCGCACAAAAACCCAAACATTCCAACAAACTTCCAGGACCCCCAGTCGGGGTGGTGAACAAACACACCCCAAATCACCGCTTGGGGGGCTGGCTAGACACCTGTGACAGGTGTCGGGTCGCCGTTCTCCCCGGTCCGTCGCCCCCGACGGCTCGGCCTCGCCCGAGGAATAGCGTGGCATCAATAAAAGCGTGAAGCAGGTGTAAGCCTCGAGGCGCGGGTTTATGCGGGTTTGAAACTACGATGCGGATCTAGCTGGTTGGCCACAATGAGCGAATGATGTTGATATGCTGGTTGATCCAGCTCTGTGGGAGGAGGCTGAGGCACATCCTGGAATGGTATGGACCATCTTTGTCTGAAAACTTGATCAAAGGATCCTCATGGAAATCTTTTCCACTCAGAATTCTACGATGCAGATGTGGTGAACCCAAGCCTGGTCTTTAAAAGGGTGCCAAACTGGGTGATGACAAACATTGACAAACATCTCGGGAAGAGATTTGCGATTCATCACAGAATCAATCGTGTCCCACCACTGACCACCGCTAAAAAGAAGCTACAAGCTCGTAAGCTCGTATGAATTGCCGTCTTGACAAATGATGAAAATGCAAACACGTTTCCAAACACTCAGAGACGAGCACTGGCAAACACTTTGACAAACCGACTGAAACGACTCCTCCAGGACGAGTTGTTGTCAAGTCAAAACGCTTTTTGGACCACTCCATCCCAAACAATAGTCGTTCACCATCTCAAAATCTGCAAAAAACTGCGGGTCTTCATTTTTCTGGGTGTATATTTCAATAGGATGCCAACCCATATCATTGGGCATTCCCCTATGCCTATAACCGAACCCAGGCACACTCAGCACCCCCGACGGTGGGCAGCCGATCGTCGTCCTCCCCGTTCCTGGACAGGTGCCCAGGAAGGCACCCGACCCGGGCAACGGGAGGTCAACCTACCATCGTTTGGTGGGGGAGGTTGGATTCATCATGTGGAAACCGTTGGATGCGGAATTGCTTCTTGTCTTGACCTGCAGGTCAAACTGAAATCCCCCCGAAGCATATGCGTTTTCGGTGTAACCAGCAATGTCGAAACAAACTGATGGTTATATATATATATATACCCTAGCCTTCAAAGACAATTAAAAGAATGGTTGAGCTGGTGGTGTAGTGTAAAAATCTTTAGTAAAACAATGGTGCTTTGGTAAAGACTCAAGACCATTAAAAACAATGGTTGTTTGAATCCCTAGGGTGTAGATAGGGGGCCTTGAAATGTGAGCCTCGTTCTTCTCACAATGGCAGCCATGCTGCTATGTGGCCAGCAATGGCAGCCATACTGGGCCATACATGACCAACCATCAAATAACTAGTTTTGTGGAAAAACAGGCGGAACAAAAAGCAAAACAAAAGCAAATGAAAATGCAAAAGCAACGCAATTTGCTTTGTTGTTGCTTGTGTTTTACTATTTTTGGCGTTTTTACTCGTACCACTTCTGCACGTATGAGAACTTTTACCCGTCAGCAATATTCGCTGTACACTCCTAGGAAAAAGGTGATAAATTGCGAACAAATAGACGTTTAAAAATGCGACAAACACGCAAAGCTACGTGTTTTTGCTTTATTTTTTGCTGGACTTTTGCTGTTATTTTGCGTTGTGTTTGCTTGTAAACAAAACTTGGCTCCTTGTACCTATGGCTGGCGTGCCGAACATAATCCTGCTGCTGAGTCCATGAACCCCCCCAAAATCATGCTCCAAGGACCCTGGAAATAATCTTTCTCAGCCAGACCCAATGGAGTCCAAAAAGAAAGACGAAATTCAAAGAGTTCCCAACAATCGAACAGCAACAAAATATATACATTACATGGATCCCTCTTGCCGGGATACACCTGGGAGTCTCTGTGAAAAGTGGTCGGATTTCTCCGCTTGCCTTTTTCTTAAGCTGACGAACTCCGTGCAACTCAGGAAAATGTGGGCCCAACTCAACCAGTCTGAGCTCCTACTGGGCGCTTGAAGGCAGTGTCCTGATTCCAAAACCAAGCCTTCACCTGACGTATCTTGTAATATGATGGTCGGATTCCTTCACCTGACGTCCACGCCTTTGGACCTGCAATTCGAAGTGCTGCCAGCCTTCCGGTGGCCTCCTGCAAAACCACGAGGGTCGGTGAGTCTGTGATGGGAATCCCATTTGGATACCATGTATCGAGTGGTTCTATATATACCTGGGGGGCATCCCCTCTCTTCATCAACGAATCATGCCCTTCTCCAAGGGCAGTGTTTCGGCATTTGGGACGTACAGGGAGGGGATGAACAATACATGCTCTGAAATTCATGTTCCAATCTGTTGAAACAATGGTCGAACTAGATTGATTCGACCTCGGATCTAAGAGGTTTCACACCATATTAATAACCTTTAATAACAACCAATCAAGTTCGAATGGCTTCGCTCACCCCATGGGGTGAAGCGGATCCTTCTCCGTCCATACCCGGCACCGCCGCCACGCCTGTCACAGGCCGAGACGAAGAGGGCGAAGCGGCGCTTCTGCTCGTCGTCCAAGGATTCGAGGACGGACCAGAAGATCTCCTGTTCCAACGGCGGGGCTCTGATCGGGTGAATCTCGGTGTGAAATCCATTGGGAATGTGCTATTGGGTGCTATTGGGTGAACTCCGGGCGAAGCGAGGTCTTTGCAGTTGACCCAAGCCACGGGGTCTTTGCTGGTGATTCTCTTAAAGTGTTTCGGCCAGGTTTTCTGAGTTCAATATTGTCTAAGGACCACATCTTTGAGGACTATGGCATGGATATATAAGAAATTATAAGAATAACTACGATCCTCTTCGTCGTTGATCGTCCGCCCTACGACTACGGCACGATGGTTGAGGTACGACTCTGTGTTGTTCAGATCTGTCGTTCAACATCTTTCAACCATGTTGCTTCAACGGCAGGGATCACCAGCAGAGGGGAAAACTGACTTGCCCTGCTTCAAATAAGAGAGATGGAAGGCAAACTTGGAGGAATTCGTCTTGGTCTCCAACCGTATTTGGTGTCTGCAGAGGCTGTCGAAGGAGCAAGCAACATCATATGGCACAACAGTTCAAAACCAAAGGAACTGTGGCCGTCTGGAACAAATTCATCTTCCTACGCTCCAAATGAGACCAATCCCCACATCAACAGGGCCCCAAAACCGAACCCGGTCAGCCCGCCCGGGTCAGTCGCCTGACCGGTCGAACCGACGACTTATCGGCCTTGAAGTCGTGATCAAAGCCTTCCACTCTCGCTTTCACCTGGGCACCCGCTTTCACCAGGCGGGCCCGCTTTAGGGTGAACATGGAGCCGATTTTAGGATGCCTCAAAGGGTGGAAGGGTTCCAAAGAAAGGAATCCCACAAAGAGCATAGACGAAAGTAGCGATTTCTTTTTAACTCGCAATATTCGGAGAACGTCGTTTCAAGATTTAGCTAAACCATGCAAAAAAGACAATAACGACTTGGCCTAAGAGATTCTAGTCTGAGGACTCTTCCAGAGATGCTTTCCACGACACCCAGACTTTCCACGACACCTGCCTTGAGCTGCTGTACGTCTAGAGGCTCCTCCACCCCGCAAAGGATTTGCTCCTGCGTCCAGATGCTCGGTGTAAGGGCAGTGAGCCGTCTGGACTCGTCAGGACGGAGGAACCCCAAGCAGACCTACATTTCAGTTGGTGAGGAGGTTTCTGACCATGCGAAAGGTATCAGCAGGGCAAAAGTTACATACAGGTCACGGTGGCCGCAACCTTTTGAATCCGTAAATCAAAGGGGGGCTGTGGTGATTGGACAACAGCTGCTGAGCTTTAGGCAACGTATATATTATGTATATTGCGTGAAACCTTGCGAGGTTTGCCAGTGATTGTGAGGAATGTTGAGAGGTTGAGTGGTCAATGGTCCAGTAAGTCCACTCTTCCTGGATCTACTACGTTTTCAGCATGTAAGAACACTCGGTCTGTGCTTTAGAATCAACCTGAATCAACAGAGTCAACACGCACCCAAGGTATCTCAAATGTGTTGTACACAACAAGTGAGACATAGTGGGACTGAGACTGGGGAGTTCCATCCATTTGCCAAGCGCAACTGGGGGAGTTCCGAGGTTAAGCGTTAAATGTCACGAAGCTGTGAGGTGAGGTGGGGTTCGACCAGTTCCGGGTCGAATCTGACCAGTGGTAGGAGACAGGCACCTGAAGATTGGTGATTAAGAGGTGAATAGGTCCACAGAAGAAGAAACACTGAAGTGTGGTTGAAGAACAGACCTGAAGACAATGGGTATAGTTAAACATGGTTAAACCCCATTAAACCATTCCAAGCCTTGTGGATCGCGGTGCCATGATCTTCACCCACCAACACCCCCGCAAAAGCACTGTGCTCGCAGGCCGCTCCAGCTGGCTGGCGTTCACCAAGGTCTGCGGCACGGTGGACACCAACACATCAGCAAAAAGGCAGAAAAAGGAATGGGTGTTTAAAAAAAGAGATCCTTTGATTGGCCTCCTGGTTGGAAGGCTATTTACAGTCGATCATTGCTCCGGGTCAGCTGCCCGCCCACCGGTTCAGCTACTCAGCTAAGCTTGTTCCTGAACCCTAGAAGTCGAAACACCATTTATTGAATCGCCTTTACCGAACAAGGAGGATTTTACACTGATCAACCGGGTAACCAATTGACTGGACTTCCAGAAGACTGTTGAGACATAAACCCCCCCCTTGGGAAGTAACGTCCACATGTTCCTTCGCTCGTTTCTCACATCTGGCGGACCGTTCTTAGAGCGAAAACCCTCGCCACTGAGACTAAACTCTGAGTCTGGGAAGAGGGTGGCACTCCAGCCTCCCGCGGAGGCGTGAAACCACTTAACGAGATGCATGCAACTAGTTCATGGAGCGTGTAGAACGAATTCCTGAAAGTGAAGGAACCGCGCGTTTGGAAAGCAGAGTAGGGCATCTTTTCTTTTTTTAGCCCGGGAGGAGGGGGGGGTAGGCCGCTAGTAGCTAGGGAGTCGCTAGTAGCTGTAGCTACTACCTTGGACGCAGGATAGCTCGCGCTAATGGTTTGGTTCCTAGATTTTTTGGGAAACTTAACTACTAGTAGCTCCTGGCCTTACTACTAGTAACAAGACACTGCTGAGCAAGGGCATCGCTACTAGTAACAAAGGGCATCGCCACTAGGAACAGGGACGCTACTAGTAGCTCCTGGCCTTACTACATCTTACTATAGTAACAAGAAGCTACTAGGAGAAAGGGCATCGCTACTAGTAACAAAGGGCATTACTACTAGTAGTATTCTTACCATGTACTAGGAACAAGAATTGGATCAACCCCAGGACTCTGATGAAGACTTCGGAATGTCAACAGAACAGTTTTGGTTGAACACCACAAATCAGATCAAATCAGTATTTTTCATGGACAGTCCGAAGAGTTCCGTGATGAACAGTTGATAGAACGCATTTCATGGTCACCGCTCTTTTCTCAGTCCCTTCTTTGCGAAACCAAGATTCCGGTGACCCACAAAAAACCTCAGACCGAGACCGAGGAACAACGGCCCAAAAATGGCCTCAGCGTGCTCGCGTGCGAACGTGCTAAGAGTGGAAGTTGATTGATCCTGCACCACGTTTGACTGTAGAATGACTTCATATTAGAGGAATCCCCCGCCCCTCCCCGCAAGATCCTCCCAGTGAAGCCTCGCTCCCGCCGGCGTGGCCGACCGGCCGCGGTCCCAGCCCGACCTGCAAAAAGTCGCAGCTGTGGAGCACATCCTTGAAGCCATCCAGGAAGGGTTTCAGCTGCGAACGGAACTTCTCCGTGAAGAACCACTCGACAAATGCTTCCACCTCGAAGAAGACCAGACCCCAGACGGTCACTGGAAAGGATGTATACGGATGAAACCAGGTAGCCCATGGTAGCCCTCCTCTGGCCAGTGAGCTGGTTTTTGGGGCTCTAAACACCGACTCACCCGAGTCATCCGAAGAGATTGGGATCTCCGATGTCCAGAGATTCGGCCCCGATTCGGCACTCTCGGCTGCCGAACGAGCCTAGCAGCGAGCGAAAGGGGTCGAGCTAGGGGGTCTTTGGAGTCTGAACGCAAAGCAGTCGGAGCTCACCAAAGGCACCGGAGGTTGACATCGGGAGACTATCTTACAGAATTGGAGCAGATTCACCAAAGGTTCTAGATATTGAAAACAAGCAGCTGGTGGTTTCACCAGGACAGAATCTCTATACCACAATTTACTTCACCTTGGACATCCTTGGACATTCGTACAAAAGAGTTCGCCTCGTACAAAACAGAAAACTCAGTCATATCAAGTCGCATGTTTTCTGGACCCCTAATTTGGCCCCACACTTTCCCTTGCCAGGCCCGGTCGTGCCGCTCCGAGGTGCATGTTCGGCTCGATTACTGCTGCAAAGCTCGTGTCCTCGGGGCCAGTCCAAGGGAAACACCTGACCACGGCGGGAGCAGCCGGTGCTTGTGAAACGCGGCATGCCCGGAGGAAATGAACGGTTTTCCGCCCCAATAGCCTGAGGTTTTGAGGTGGCAACCGGAATTCTAGGGCCCAAGTAGAGTGCAAACAGGAAATTCTAGGATCATACATGATCTTATCAGCATGTAACTGGGCAACGGAAGAATGTTGCCGGATCCGGTGGATGTTCCGGTGGCTGATCCCCTTCTCCCAGTTCCTGAAGCAAGAGGGAGATAGCTCGCTTGTAACCTAACAACTGCACCATTTGTTCTACTTGCCACTTCGCGTGGAATAGGGAGGTGCAAATGGCTCAACCAAGACCAAACACACCGGCACCTGGGTAGTGGGTGCACCAGGCACGGGGGCTGCACAGGCTTTTTGACTCATATGGGGATGTGCTGAAGCTGGTCATAGCAAAGGGCTTCCTACTTGGTGTTTTTCAGTGGGACGTGGAATGCCAAGTCAAGTTTCATAATGGTTCAATTGATGGCCGACAACCCTATGAAATCCTACTTTGAAGCCAGCTCCCGAATTGCTGGCTCTTGCGGTGGTGTACTTCGACGACGACGCCAGCCTCGCCCACATCCGAGCCCTCGTATTGGAGAAGCTCTTGAAGACCCTTCGCCAAGGATGGCCTGAAGGGCGGCGACACAGGGAGGGAGCCCTGCCAGGGGATGGGGGTGTGAGCCCTGCACGTTGAATACGAACGGGTGAGGGAGCCCAAACCAACGATGTTACAAGCATTGTTCGCTGCTAATCGAAGACATCTACTCAGTAGATTCTACTGTATTTGATGTATATTTGGCTCAAATCTCAGGCCTACTGGTTGGAGGATGTTCAATGTTTTCATCCCACCTCTTCAAGCAAAAACCAGTGGTTCAAACCGGTGACCCCCAGCGGTCGAATGTCCAGACATTCGACCCTCAAACCATCTCAAACCTAGGCCACGCCTTTTTGGAGCCCAAGAAAAGCGTACATGGAGGTGGGTGCACCTCCAACTGGTCTTCTTTTTGAAAGGTCCCAAGACATCTATGAACAGTCATGTGGACTCTTGAAGTCTTGATTGAATAAATCCCCTTTCCAGAAGGGTTTTACATCTCCACTACTGGGTGGGGGTTATTCATAAACCGTCTAACCATATGACGGACAACACGGCCGCAGCCCTTTTCGTGCATCTGGTGGCCGAGGTACCATGCAGGATCAGAGCCAATAGCACACAGGGAGAGCATGGAGCATAAAACTAATTCAGGTGATATGTGTCTTGGATTGGCTCAAGGAACAAAAAGTAAGATAATATTCCCCACAAGACATTTACCATGATTTACCCATAGGGGAACTTAAACATACATCACAAGCAACACCAGGTTGTAAGGAGAAGCAAACTCGATGCCCACCGGCCAAACCCCGGACACCGCACCGGAGCGAGGCCAAGTCTGTGAGGCCCAGTCGGGGTGCGGAGGCGCCTCAAACAGCGGCAAGCTGGGCCTAGCTGGGCCTCTAACGACAAATCGATGGAAATCTGTGAATAGCAAAGGCCTCCAACCTACTAGCGATGGCCTCCAACCTAATAGCGATGGCCTCCTAGAAGATGTAGATAGTCTGTGAAAACCAACAAAGGTTGAAGGACCCTAGTTCGGTCCTTTTTGAGGTCACTTGAACCTCTCTATGACATGTCCATGAAAATGTTACCCAACACTCACTGGAATCTGATTATGGCTCCCCGGAAGTGGGAAACATTGTGGGAGGTGTTTCTGCAGAATTGCATAGAATTACACTGGACACCACGGCCTGAACACATGATTTCATGTCATTTTAACTGTAGTGAAATTGGTCGCCTGCTGGTCGCAGCAACGTGAACCATCCATGCCATCTGCTGCGTGAACCACCACGGATCTCCGGATGTCAGGTGCTCCATATTGGCCGTTGATGGAATTCGCACACCAATGCATGACCGACATCAACTCCACGGCTACTTGACGGCGACCAACCCGAACCTGTTCAGACCTTGTTTTGGAGTGCAACTGTGGAGGAAGAAAAGGTAGAACTCTCGTCAGACAAAAAAGAGTCCCCTCTATATACACCCTTCGTGGCTCCAATGAACTCGTGACAATTCCCCTCAGCAACCTCCTTCGGCTGCGGGGCCTATGTGCCGAAGGAGAAGGCTGTAGAGAAGCGGTGGGAAAGAGACCTGGCGGAGGGAAGAGCTCCGAATCGCCCCGGAAACCCCGATCGCCATGGCTTTCTTGGGGGCAGCGAATCCGCCCCCGTTGGCGGCTGAACAGCGGTTCACAAGGCGACCGTTCTGAGTGACTGCGTTTGATCTATTGAGTGACTTCTTTTTGACCAGAGTCGATCGGAGTTCACACAAAATGACACCTGCACCATACTATCTCTGGAGCCAATGGAACGCTGAAAACGATACAACGAGCCATGGCGTGTTGTTCATCTTCCACACATGGTGTGTTCGACTGAAACACGGCGGCACTCAGTTGGCCGCCGTGGGTTCAAAGCACCGTAGTCGAAAGAGTAAAGTACCTACACCATCTGGTCCCAAGATCTCTTTACTCACAGAGTAGGGCAAAGGCAACCAAGTGGTCCAAGGAAAATCAACAGAACATGAGGGTCATCTACCTGGTTACCTCGGTCACAGCAACATTCCAAGCTGAATGAGCCCATCCCTTCAATGAATTGGTCACCGCATCCCAGCCTGCAAGCGCGTGCCATTGAGCAATGCCTGGCTGGTGGATTTGGGGTGTGTATGTAAATCGGCAGACCCTCCAACCAATTGGTCTTGGTCTATTCTCCCTGGCCAGGCGGTTCTTCTTCTTCCAGAGGGGGTCAACCAGGAGGGTCTCCCTATGCTAATGTACACCCATCTGAGCCCTTCTTTGAATGCCTTGTCATGACATTTGCGGCTGCCACAAGCGCCAGCGGCAGTTGCTATTGGGAAGTGAGCAGAAAGCTTCGCGTTCATCAGCACCAGTGCCTTTTTGGTGGCGCTTCCACAGGAGCATGGCTCATCTTGTGGATTGTGGCTTCTCATCAGGAAGAAATCACCTCTCTTCAAAAGCTGCTATGAATCACGGAACGAAAGAACCTGGCACCTCTTCGCAGACGATCTTCCTCAGCCGAAGTAGTGGTTTAGGGAGGCCTCCCTCTCTGGACGAGCCGAGCCAACCTGTCCCTGATGACTCTCCGCATGACGAGAGTCGATGCGTCTCGACCGTCTGTCGGCCGTGTGGTGGGGCGCTCCAAGCATTCGGTGGTTGGTATCCCAGGCTGCAGTTCCTCCCAACACCCGTACCGGTGGAGTCATGGAGTTCACCACACGTTGCACGAAAGTTCACCACACCGCCCCATTTAACCGTTTTTCGTAGCGAACCCCGCTGTTGGGGTCTGAGCATCGCCTGCGCGAGAAGGACGCCGCAAGCGCGGAAGAGGCTCTGACATTGGGCACTGAGCGGAGCTGGGAGCTCGGAGAACCAGAAGGTCCTGGAGGAAAAACCCTCAAGACGAGACTCGAGACTCCGTGGTTACCGTGGTTCTCGTTTCGGGCTCCAGAAAAGGGGTTGACATTCAGATATAGTCCACTTGGGATTTGAGGCAAAGTTCAAAGGTTTTGATCAGAGTTACTTCAAAACATCTTTCAAACAAACCTCCGCGGCTTGTAGAAAGTCTGAACATGGAACGCCAGGGCCACCAAGGCCGCCAGAGCCAGGGTCTCACTGAAGAGTGGACCAAGACCGCCATCACTCGAGGTTCGGTGATCCTTCTAGCCGACCGAGCTTGAACCTCCGGATCTGAACCCGAAGGGGTGGGTTGATGCGCAGGTTCAACCACTTCGGACAAGAAAACGAACAATGCAAAAAAGGAGTGCCTGGAATGATCATTCAAAAAGTGGAAGATCTCTGTCAGGAAGCAAAGAAACAAGACCATGTGACGTGTGGATTGTTTTGTAAAAATACCCCAAAAATGGGCTCGGCAGAAGAGAATACCTGGTCCATATCTGGTCCTGGCATCTCCTCACAACCTGCCTTTCTATTTTTAGCCCTGCCCCCTGTTACGGAAGACGGAGCCTGTTTTGGTAGCACAAAGAACCAGACGACTGGCGACCGTGCAAAAGCGCACACTCCCTTCGGAAGAGAATCGATCCGCACGGGGCCGCCTTAACAAGTCAGTCGTATTCTCTGGTTGTACTGTATTTGCCCGAAGCCTCCCCCTAGTCCTGAAATCGTTTCGGCCAAACCACTGGAGCAGCAGAACATCAATTCGCTCCCGCACAGATCTAACCGGATCTCCTGGTGTTGGGATCATAGTCCCAGAGCGCCTGACCCTCCTGGTGCGCTTTTCTTCGTCCGAAGAAAGGCGGACTGGGGGGGTCCCTGCCCCTCTCTGAAGCAGCAAAACGGTTGCGTGGTTATGGTCAAATGACTTTCTGCCATGGTACGAAGAAATTGTGTAACAGAGTTCTGAGTTTAGCTGACTTTTAGATCAATACGGAGGACGGGGAGAACATGGGAGGACCAATTTCTGCACACAATGAACTTTCAAACTCTTCGTTCACCTTAGCCTTTTCAGAACTTGTTAATGTGCCAAGACCATCTGTTTGAAAACTGAACCCCAGTCGCTAAGAAAAGGGTCTGCTTACAGCACCCTGACTCGAATGACCTGCTATCTCGATCTGAGAGTTATTCACTTCTTCATCGCGAACTTCTCGGGAAGTTCCCGTGAATCAGCCCGCCATGTTGGCGGTTTCTGGCCGATCAAACTCACGTTCGACTCCGTCACGGCGTGGAGTCACGAAGTGACCGCTGATCGCGGGCGCTGCAAACTTGTTCCTGCCGATCGTGTGGTCGTGTGTATGCTGGGCGGCCCAACGTGAGCGGAACATGGCCGGACTCTTTGGAGAGATCCCGTCCCAAAAATAGCCGCCCCAAGGACCAAGGACCAAGGACCGCACCACTCTGAGTGAGTGAGAGCTGAAGCCTCGGACCCAATCACTTGCCCGCAAGTGATAAGGGAATCCGCATCATGTTCCGGGCAATTCTCATTCACCAACACTATCGTCGAAACGAACCTGAAGGTCACACTGACCACCTCTTATAACTAATTAGCAAGAGTCTCTCAGCGGACGTGTTATCCACTTGGATGTTGTTTAACGTTAGGAGTGGCCTTGTGAGAATTTCCCCGGCCTTAAATGCTCGAATCCAAATCATTCTCATGTACGCGGAATCTGTGCAGGACAACGATTCTCTGTCCAACGTGAGCAGTTGCCGTAGCTGCGTGGAACTCCTTAAAGAGTCTAATTCCTCTCCGAACAACGGTGCGTCATAGGTCAGCAAGCAACTCACGTTCCATGCACAACAGTACCTCGCAACGACTCGCAGGAGCCTTGGAAAATCATTGTCTCAGGCTTTTGCCTGAGAGTCATCAGGTTCACTCTGAGCCTGTAGGCAACTTCATATTAAGAGAATAGCATCATATACAGTATATATATATCATCTGCTGGGCAGGTTTCCTCGTTCGCCAACACCCTCTCCTAAACAAGCACAGACGCGGAAGATTGCCTGTACTGCAGTGATGCCAGCTTGGCCAAAGGAAAAAAAGGTATCGAGTCTGACTGAAAAATTGAGCAAACTTGAGTGCTCTCAAAGCAATCCAAGATCACTTTGAAGGCTCTCCTCAAAAATAAAGCTGCTGCAATCTGCCAGCTCTCACGCGGAACGTTTATGATGTGCGGGCTTGGCGGGGGGGAGTTCAAGTAGGTTTTAATTCCTGCTAGGTTGGTGTTCTTTTTGTGATATCAACATGGTCCGGTAGGAAAGCCATAGTTCACAACTAAGGAAGTCCTCTGATCCCACCTAGCCACAGAAGAGGAATGGAATCGAGTGATCCTGCGGATCCTGGTTCTGCAGGGGCTTTTGTTTGAATCCCCTTTAGGGTCCTTCTTTGGCCAGAACCTCACAGGAACGTTCAAATGACCAACGCCCACTCCAACACTAGTATACAGAAACAATGAGCCTTTGGGGTATACTTGATCAACCATTCTGTGTCAAATTCCTCCTCTCGTGCGTCAAACTTCAACTCAACAACCATGGAGCGGCGTTGTTTTCTCATCCTTGCTCAAACACCTATCATCTACGCGTCATTTGCCCAGGGCCACGACTTTCAGTCTTCCTGAGCAGTTGCAGTGTCGGGTTTCAGATGGAACTGGAAAATTGGAATGCGCTTCCAAACAGTGGTGCCTCAAAGTTGATGAATGCATATTATGTCCACCTGCCATCGCCTGCCTATGCAAATCCAGCCCGTGTGCACGCCATAGACTCCTATAGGCGGTCAGCAGGCAACTCACGCTTCCATGCACATAAAGATGTGCTAGGGAGCAGCAGCCTCGGAAAATAATCAGAGCGGCTTCAAGCTCAAGCCTGAGTGCTCATGATCTCAGCCCAAGCAAATTCAGAGTATTTGGGCTAGGCAAGTCATGATGGACCAACACCCTCTACTAAACAAGCACGGAAGTGGAAAATTGCCGAAGGATTATCTGCAGTTTTCCTGACTTGCCCACCTCACCTTACATCAGGTCGAGCCTTGAACAAAAACACACGAAATCAGGGAATCTGATGCCTTCGGTCGGTGCACCGAGCACTCGTCGACCAGTCGACATGCGCCAGTCGCGCCCTTCGCAGACCGGACTCAATTGGCCTTTTGAACGATCTCCCCGGAAGACCGGCTCTCTTTTTCAAACAAGAATACGCCTTTTGGTTCTAAGTCCAGACTCCTCGCAGTAATAATACATCTACCATGGTTTCATGGTGTCCGCATTCGAATACTTCCATCTACGGGGGTCATATCGGAAAGCACACCGCAAAAGAGATCCAAAAAAACATCATGATCTTGAGAAGGCACCTGTTGGAGTTGGAGTGAGACTATATTCGACGAACTGCTGAAGTGAAACACCGGCCGTCTTGGCCCATCGACTGGGGGCGCGAAGATCTACAAACCCAAGAGGTAGGCGAGTGATCATTTGGGACGGAAAAAGAAGCTCCGCCGCCTCAGACTGCGCCCATAATTGGAGGACAATGTCAATAACCGAAATTGTTATATATATATATTATAATATATATATATGATTGCATTATATTGCAGTTGGATGCCGAAAAGCACTTTAAAGATCTCTAAAGAAAAGTCACCGACTCGTCGTGCTTCGTTTCAAGAATTCACCAAACCAGCCTCTTCAGGGGTTGTTGGAACCAACGTTGAAGGTGGAACGGAACCAGAAAGATTCTGTTCATGTCTTTTCCATGTTTTCCAGACAGATCCGGGAACCCTTCTTAGCTGTTTTCTGCAACTGAATGGTATGCTTTTCACTGCGGCCGTGCGCATCCGGCGTCTCCACATCCCTGATGGTGACACATCCGGCGGGGTTTGGGGGGGGCAGGGGGCGCTGGGCTCAGAAGGCCACGGCAGTCACTCGGATCGCCTCATCCAAGAGCTCCTCGGGTGAGAACTGGGATACGGCGTTTCTCGTGGGATTGAGAGTAGATGGCACCAATGGATGGCACAAATGTCCCATGTTGGGTGGCACAAAATGGACCCGTATCTGAAACCAATGTCAATACTGAATTGACACCACTCTTGGGGGACCAAACCCTGGGCAACTTGGGAACTAAACCTGGATTGATTCCCGAGCAATTGGATGGTGAGAACATGTGAGAACTGTCCAAGGTTTTGGTCCCCAATTGCCCGGGAATCAATCTCACTCAAAGCACCATTGTGCCAACAAGGACTCATTCACCTTCGTGTCAACCACTTTGTGGGATCACCTTCGGTACCCCAGAGAGGGGAGCGCGCTCTTGCTCGAGCGAAAGACAGAAAGACCAAAAGAAAGAGAGTCTACAATCTTTCCGACCTGGAAATCGCCCACTCGTTGACACAAAATCTTAGCTGTCACTGACACTGCGGGAAGCGTCTGGGCACCATTTGGAGGACACGAGGACGCTGCGTTTGCTTTCTTCAGAATTGCTGTCCGCGTTGTATTCTGAAACTTGGGGAAGCCAACTCAGCGGGGATGAAGAGGTAGGTTTTCGAGGTTGTTGGGAGCAAGTTGGCCACTTGGGAGGATGGTCGAGGATGTCAAATCGGTGAAGAGTGTTGACAGTGTCAAAGAACCGGGAGACCCAGTTCTGGGGAAGGCGCCCTTCATCACCTAGTTCAACGCTTGCAGTTCAACCGTCGTGAGAATCCGACGCTGGCTGTCTCCCAATGTCACAACCTCAAACAACAATTGGAGGACCTGCAAACAAGGGTAGATGAAAACCTTTGCTCACAACATATCATTGGCACTCCGGAGAAACAACCAGTACCGACCGTACCGACCGGTTCAAATCAGGAAGGACGACCACTGGATGTTTGGGGCTTGTGGATGGAGGACCGAGACACCCTATCAGCTTTCCCGCCTGTCAGTTTGCAGAATGGTCACCTGTCGGCTTGCCTGTCGGCTTGCCAAGGCTCCAAGACCCGTGCGTGCGAGCCGTAGCCGTCATCATTGATCTTGGCCAAATCCCGGGGTGAAAGCCCGCTCTCCAGGATGGGCGTGGGATCCACTCCTGCCTCCAGCAGACTCTCCACGATCAAGGCATCTCCCATCCTCGCAGCGGTGCCGGACTGGCACGGTCGGCTGCGAAAGCGCAATCTTCTCTGCAGAGAGGAGAGCAGAGAAGTCTGTGCCCAACCATGGTTTCAGGTCCGTTGAACATGAGATGCGACATCATGGTGTGTCTAGAATCACACAATGTTTAAACAACCCCTACTTGCAGAATCCATGTACCCAAGATGCACAGACGTCCCCAGCCGGTCCCCACCCATTTCCCCAGCCCATGATGTGGGGTTCTTCCGATGAAATGCGCAGCCAACGCTCACTGCGCAGCCAGGCATCTCCGCAGCCACATGGATGGGTTTGATGAGACCACCATGAACTTGTTGCACACTGGAGAAGCCATGCTTCAGCAGAAAGTTCACCAAAATCCTAGGGGGTCCGGGGGTGGAGGTCCTGAGGGTGCCAGCCCGGTCTGGTCAAGTCAGAAAGCCAATGCAGCTACATGGTACATGGCCCTGTCCTCCCTCCGATCGCTGGGACAAAACAAAACACCTCCTTCCTTCGGATCAGGTCAGGTGAACTCGTAGGCACGAGATGTCCCGCCTCTGACTCTCTGAACACGTGTTGGTGCCCACACTTTCGGGGTTGCTTCCCCAACTCTTCCGCTTTCCATCTGTAGAGAAAAGGGAACTGCATCTGCTACCTGGTGCAAAAAGGACTTTCTGCAGAATCTGCACATGCCCAAAAGGATATTAAAAATCACTATATGTTAGGTTGGAGGCCATTACTACTGTTAGCAAGCTACTAGTAACAAGAAGCCGCTCGTCGTCTCACGCAGTCACGACCCAGGGTGTCGCGAAAGCGTTACGGCCCCAGGTGCGGGGGCGAAAGCTAAAGGAAGAACTAAGTCGGGTGATTTCCACCTGAAAGATAGGAGTGATCCGGATTGACCTTTTCAGATGGTTTGAATTCGCAAAGGAAACAAACTGATTCAAATCAGAAGAAATCCAGATTTACACATGTGGAAAGATGTCCGTCTTCGGTTCAGACAGAAACGGTGAAGCTTCGCTTCGCTTCGCGACCTACAGACGTTCAGCGCTCTGCAGCACGTCGCAGCGCAGCACGTGAACGGCGCTTCGGACGCGGTTCGCGTACGGTGAAAAGTGCGGTGCCATGACCTATCGATAGGGAGGTTTTATCCGTTTTATCCCATGTTCGTGGTCCTTGTCCTGTACATGCAGGATGGGATATATGTGTCCGTGAAGATCGAAAACTGACAGGAATGACCTGATCTTTGGGGACCATCTCGATCCTAGCTCTACTCTCTCTTCGTTTGACCTGTTACTCCATGTACGGCTTCGTGTCCATCCGACGTCACCGACCGTACTCCCAGGGTCGGTGCCAACTCAGGCTGCTTCGACGTGCTCCAGGAGCGCCGTGGATCGAAACGTCGGTCTCGGCCCCCAGCCATGTCGGTCGCGACGCGGTCGGTGCGACGCGGTCGGTGCGGCTGAGCCAGAGATCGGTGAAGACGATGATCTCATGATCACGTGATGAACAACTACTGATGTGGGGTGCATAGTAATTCGACCCCTACAAGGACTCTATGGAAAGTTGTACAGAGGTCATTAATGGGTTTGACAACCCCTCAACTCCCAGCAACCAAGTGTTCAGACCATGGCACACAGGGAACTGGACAAGAGCGCTGGATACCATGACACAGGTCTGTGTGAATCTGCGATACGTTAATGACTGCCATGCTTGACATCGCCCAGTTTTCATGCTAAGCATGCGCAAGCCAAATGGGGGGACAGCTGTGGAATTGGTTCTACACTGAGACCTTTTCCAATGATTTGCTGCTCCTGGTCAATTGGCTCTGCAACAAAACACAAGAGGATACTGGTCACCTGCTCAAAGTTATGTGTTTTACATGTCATGTTTTTTTCTTTTTACCTATCTTGAGGTTTGCAATTGTATGCAATTGTCTGATCCTGTTTGAGACCGTACCCAAAAACCGTCATCTGTCAACACGTGTTGTCTTCTTGATTTGTTGTGGGTTGTTGGTGACATGGAACATCATGAAAGATCATAACGACCACATGACCAGAGAGATTCTGTGCCGCTCGCTGCCATGTTCTGCGTGGCACTCTGCCAGTCCAAATGTTACCAAGGCGACACGGCCCGACACGGTCATCCTCAAGGTTCTTGCCACTCTTGGCGGACATGAAGGCCTGCACCGATCGAGCCGCGGGACAAACAAGCAGCAATTCCACGTGAGCAGTCAAGAAGGGAATTCAGCAAATCAGTGTGAGTATTCAAATAGGGAGACCTCCCAGTTCGACCTCCTGGAAGAAGGGAAATAAACCACAACAAACCAAAGTCCATTATATAGACCTGTCTACCCATTGATTGGGGGTCTCCCTATTAAAATTCACACCGCACCCTTTATATAAATCGCTTCAACCCACTGACTTTTGAATTTGCCCACCAGGTGACAGCACTGTCAGGGACTGGAGGTTCCAGGAGTTCTTCCTGCACTCCATGGGCATCTTTGACGCCACTCCAAGCTGATGTGGCCGAGAGTGTTGGTCTTTGTAGATTGTAAATGTTGACATGTATAGTATAAATATTGTTCAATTAATGTATTGCGGTGCAAAAGATTGAGGTTTGTAGGAGCTCTGGGTGGTTATCTGAGTCCTCTGGCAGGGGTTATCCAAACTGGACTTCCAACCACTGTACTTTCACGCAGCTAAGCTACCTGAATAGCTACCGCAAACCAGCTGAGCCAATCGGTCTAAGGTCTTGGAATTGGCCAAACTCTCCATTTTCGTCTCAAAAAATGGCTGCAAGTCCTACTTTCAATTCCCCGAAAATCACTCTTGGCCCCAAATCCACCAACCCTGGAGGCCCCCATGGCCGATGGCGAGCGGATTTCATCGGTGACCCATCCCACCTCCATGGCAAGCGCCAAGAACTCCCGCATGACGCCGAGTCCGCGGCCCCTGTGACGTGTCTTTCATCGGGGGGGGCACGGCCGAGCACGGCTCCTGTTTCGCGGGTGCTGGGAGCGGTAGGGTTGATCTTTTCTTCTCCAGAAGGGTGGAGTTAAGTGCTAGAATTCCTCTCCACAAGCCTGACACACCCTTGGGAATTGCCGGTGTAATTCGCCAGGTGGGTGCTCAAGAGCACAGAGTTCCCCACGCGGTCGGAGACGGGGCGCGCCTTTCCCGTGTGAAGTGCGCCTCCAAGCGCTTCAGCTGATCCACGCGGCTCAAGGCTTTGGCGGCGCCCAGGCGCAAACTCCGTGGCGGCCGGCGTGGCACTTGGCAGCTGAGCCTCGGTTTGGACATCGTTTCTGGGACATCATGTGGTTGCGGGTCAAAAATCTGGTTGAGAATGAAGAGATCCCTTTTATATATAAGGGATGTCGATGGTTTGGTGGGGGGAGGAAACTTGACTCACCATGTGGCTGCAGCACGGTCCTGGTCCTAAGATGTTTCGACCCAAAGGGCCTCTCTAGTAGGATGTGCCAATGGGATTTTTGTTGAACCAGTGACTCGCTGGGCCAAATATGTTTGCCCCCCCACTTGGATCCACATGACTCGCTGAGTTCGAGTCAAAGAGATGGACATCCACATGAGTCGCTCCACCTTCCGCTGTGCTGCACGATTTGCGCGTCCAAGAGCGGGACACTGATTTCGTGCTTTTGGTCCCTTGGCAAATCAACCCACAGCTGGATCTATGGGAAAGGCAGCACGCAAAATACATGGTGGAATGGTGGAAGAAGTTGCGTACGCCAGCAGTATCAATGCAACAGGCTGTATACGCTGCAGGTCTCAGTTCATTCGTTTCTGTTTATCCAACTACCACACCATTTGGATGCCTCGCTCAAGACCGCCCATGACGGTTTGGCGTTTGGTCCAAGCGGTCAGCAGACAGGTCCCAGAGCGTCCGTTCCCGATGTGTCGAGGCGTGGATGTATGGTGGTGGCCCTTCCCAACCCCAGCGGAGACCGGAAGGGTGCTGGGTAGTAGCAAATGTACATTCGCAATGTCTACGCAGTGGCCATTTTTTTCGCACGACATTTTTCAGGTCTGGTTCCTCTCGATGGGCTGAAACATGGGTGTTCGCCGCTAGATCAGGACCGCGAGCGGCCCGTAGAGGAAGTTGGCCGGAATCCTGGTGACCTTTTCCCATGCCTCCCCGAACTTCGACCTCCAACACGTGAACATCGGCAAGAATCGGCAGAATCTGTGAAAAAGCGGACAACAAACATCTGAAACATCTGCAGAACGGGGAAACTCCCTGCACCTGTGGGTCTTACGCCTTCTTTCACCGCTTTGTTCCGTTCTGCGCCAAGGCACACGGGTCGTTTCACCTGTACGAGCCGGTCCTCCAAGTCCGCCTCCAGGCACCGCTCGCGGAAGGAGAGGGGCACCAGGGGGCCCTGCACCAGAAAGAGCGCAAAGGCGCCACTCACCTGCCGCCCGCGCGAGACGGAGCGACGGACCCGCCGCCGTCTGAGCCCGGCCGCGGAGCTTCCCGCGGCTGGTTCTGGAACCGGCCCGCGGCGAATTGGTGTGTTTTGTTGGGGGGCGATTGGTTGGTTGAAGTTGGTGGGCGTTTGTTTTGAGGGCGCGCAGAAGTTAGGGGCCGATCGAAATGGAGCAGTTGAAACGTGTGCCTGGGTGAACGTGAGATGGGCTTGGATGAGCTTGGGTGCTTCTGGGATCATGAAAGTGATGCCATTGAAAAAATCACCTCCCATCTTCCATAGGGCAAGTGTAGGAAGGATTTAAGTAAAATGACTCATCTCACCGCAAAGAATAAGTTCTCGCTGCCAGAGACAGGAACTGCAGACCATGGGTAACCCACCTCAAGACATGAAGACAGCCCGCGAAACAAGGTGCTGAGAGGAAGAGATGTTAAGAATGTTAAGAGTCTTCTTTCGCACTTCTTTTACGAAGTCAAACAGTGCCTTCAGACGTTGCAAGTCTCAGTGCCTTCAACTGCAACTTCTCCAACTTCTCCTCACCACCTCCATCTCCACCGGATGCCTGGAACTCTGCCTGCAAGACTACTTCTTCTGGTGGGCGGACATGGTCCTGCCATGGTCCAGACGAGGCGCCATGGAGCGCTGCCACGGTAAGAGGAGTGTCCTCTGTATTGCTTCCTTTTCAATGCAGTACCCAATGCTCTTGGTCTTGCACAACATTTTTTGAACGTTGAATTAAACCCACAGAGAGCGATGTGTGTGTGTGTGTGTCAAGAGTTTTGATCAAGAGTTTTGACCAAGCCCAGAAATATATGTCCCAACTGTTTCGATGTGTCCATCAAGGGCTTACCGCTTGGTTTACCTATCTTTACCACTCCTTACCCATCTTGGCTCACCCATCTTTACCTTTAAATACCTTTAAATACCTTTAATATCCTTTAATAGAGAGCGGTGTGTTTGGCTTACCGCTTGGTTTATCTCCTGTTTGGATCTCCTTTCAGTCCAAACCTTCCGCCACCCCCGACCTGATCCGCCACCCCTGACCCGATGCCTTGTACCGTTTCCAGCGCTCCCATTCTGCCTGGCATCCCGCTGAACTACACAGCGACACGCGACTCCGCCACCGAACGTCAGAAGTACAGCAACAGAAGGTACCTGAAAGACGGTGTCGGCCACTTTCAGGGGCCTTGTTTGGGGAAAACCACGTTCTCCTCAAGCAAACACCTGGAATGTGGCGATGAAAAACATATTGAAAAAAACGTGATCTAAGCCCAGAAAAGCCAACTGCCCCCCGCGCGAACCCCCCCTTCCCCACCGTCACCGTAGATCGCCCGGCCCTCCGCTGGAGCTCTGCAAGCGCGCCTGGGCGTCACACTTGTCGAGGCCGCCCAGCACGAAGTGGCTCTCCGGCACGCGCGGACCACGGAGCATCAGCTCGCCAAAGCGCCTCTCCTCGCCATCGGAGAGGCGCTTTGAGGCGCGCGCGGACCAAACGGAGCATCCGGGGGGTGAGGGAGATCCAAGGGTGGAGCCATTTTGGTTTGAGATTGATGATGAAGGTGATCGTTTTTTGTTGATTCCAAACGCTTCTAAAGAAGAAGTTCCCGGAAGCCCCAAACGAGCAGCTAGCAAGCACAACATTCGGCCAGAAAGAGGGTCATTCGGAAAAGTTTGGGGGTGATTGGGGTGAAAGCTTGGGTGAAATGCAGTCAGACTCCACGGTGGATGAGTTGGGTCCGATGTTTGGACCTCGGGCCCTAGGGTAGGGGGTGCCGACCCGCAAACGGTGCACTCCTTGGCTGGTTTTTGATTCGCACAACGCAGGAGCTGTAGAAAGCCGACCAGGTGCCTCAGCGAAGAGAAACAGGTCTTGGGATCCAAATTCAGGTACGGCCCGTCAGAGTCCTTTGGTCCGTCGGGAACACTCATGGCTCAAAGCCCCGACACGCTGGTGGAGCCTCACGTCAAAACACACGAGAAGCTTCAGAAGTGGTCCGAGGCATCAAGGAGCTTTTGATGAAGAAAACACTTCTGGAACCCCAAACATGCCTATGTTCCATGTTCCTCCCTCAAAGCTGATCGACCATGAAAGACTTAAACTTGGCACAGCCAGCTGAATGTGAATGGCAAGCCAACGACCTGAGAAGGCCTCATCATTAGACTGACCCAAAGAAGCTCGAGATAGCTGGATTGTATACTGCTCTTACCTCTCACTGCCACCTTCCCACCACTCAGTGGCGGCCCCCAAGATCCAACAGAGAAACCTCAAACCCTTCGTATGTGATCCGGGACTCCACATGTGTCATCTCCATCTTTCCACATGTCTTGGAGCTTCCCCCAAAACACTCTCTCTTCGAGAGACCAGAAGTCTGCGTCGGCCGCCACATCCATGTCTGCTCCATCCTGGACACACTTCGGTGTCTCTGGCCGCCCCATGCGTGTCCGGAAGTGTCCCATGGAGACCCGCCGTTTGGAGTGCAGGGACTGCAGGGATGTATCGTCCAGCTTGGTGTTTGGCCACTTCCCTCCACACCAGACGTGGCGAGGAAACCCAGAAGGCCACGAAGATCGAAACCAACCACCAGGACTCTCCAAAACCCTCGGGCCTGGTCAACTTGGAGAAGTCCCCATAAAAGTGCTCCTGTCTTCTGAAAGAAATGGAGAAACCTCGACTTCAAAGGCTGGAGTGCAGGGGCCGCACAAACAACTCAAGATCACAGGAGGAACCCTCTTTGTCATCTTTTTGTCAAGACATAGTGAGCACAGGTCAGACATGGTCAGACAACATTTTGTCTCCGGTTGTTCTGAAAGGAAAACCGATTCTCGGTTCTCAAGGCAAGCACCCACCTTCAAGCACCCAAAGTTGTTCTTTGTGAGCCAAAAAAACATAGATTCCTACTTTAGAGGAAAGGGAGTTCACGGTTTTACCGCACCACCTCTGCAAGCGAACGACATGATGTCCAACCTCTGCCACCAAACGACCAGGTTCCCTTCCGAGCACACGTTCTTCGGCCAGGCAGGCAGATGTCTGTTGAAGGGTTTTTTAGTTTTTTAAGAATTAAACCCAAATTCATGAAGGAAAAACTACAAGAAATCATCTTCTAAAAGCTTCTCAGTTGTCAATCGGGTGGAGAAGGACAAAAAACACGTTCTGCTCAACCACCCCTCGTCCAGGCTCTTTCACAGCCCCCCAAAAAGCTTTTGCATCTACCGGTGAGGACGCGGCGAGCCAAGCTCGCTCTTCACTCCTTGGTTCATTCTCCACCTCGTTCCGACTCCGACTCGACCCGCCTGCAGGTGAACCACCTGAGCATCTGCCACATCAGCGAGGGCCCGGACCAAGTCCTGGCCCAGCTCTGTGGGGGGGTCGGAAGCTTCCAGAGACGCGACGAGCGGATTGGTCGGGACGAAAGGATTGGTCTAGGTCGGAAGGGTCAGAAAGGTCCCTTTGCTTGGTTGTCCTCTTGGTGTGCTTTTGGATGCTTTTGGTGGGGTTTTGCAGGTTGTGTTGTTTTCATCGTGAAGTCCCTGCTATTGCGCACTCAAACAAACTAAAACATTCTATCTCGCAAGAGTTTCTTCTGATTGGCAAGCACTCCACTTGGGCCGTCCCAATCTAAATCAATCTCTGTCACCGGGTCAGAGCCACAGCGCCCCTGCTCCATCCTGGGTTTGGGGGGGATTGGAACCCCAAACACCTCAGAGAAGCATATGCCCAGCAAAGGTGTTGCAATCAGGAGTTGGGCACTACAAACCCCGCCCGGCTCTTGAACACTTAGAAGTTGAGCCATCAGCCAAGATGAGGAGCAAAGACCTTCATTAGACCTTCCCTTTTTCCAAACTTGCGGACTAAATTCAACCCCCTGATCATCGCCAGCATCACCCACCGCCGGGCACAGTGCCTGAAACATCTGGAGTGGCCAATCAAAAGCGAGGATATCGATGAAGGCCTGCGCGCTGCTGGACAAGTTCAGCATCCAATTAGTTTGATGCTTTCTCAATGTCCAGACGTTCATGCAAAACACAGTGTTCATACTGAACATCGCACCTTATGGCATTTCTCCCATTAATACCAACCATCCACCATCCCCCTCCCCCGGCCTGACGCTCCTCCGCTGGCGCCTGTAGCGCCCGCTGGGCCACCTGCGCCGCGAAGCGCGAGGCCCAGACAGCGCGCTGGCCGTCGCCGGTCTCGAAGAGCGTTTGAAGATGTTCGTGGCATTGGCAGCAGAAGTCCACCTGTCACGGGTGGAAAAAGGCCGAGGCCGTGCAGCACGCCGTGGTCAGAACAACGTCACCATGTTTGAACTATTTTTATAGGTGGTTGGTATGATCTGATGACCGCGTGTGCGAGAACTGCATGACCTACCCGCCGTTGGGATAGATCCTATACCTGGCACGAGTACCCTAAGATGTCCTGCATTTCCACAGCCACGAAAACCTACGTGTTTAAAAAAAAAAAAAACATAAATAAAAAAAGACCTAACCCAGTGTCCTGCCCGACCCTCATGTTTGGGTTGCCGACGTTGGCGTTGCACCCAAACAGCAGGGCATCGGATTGGATCGCGGTTGGGGAGAGATGGAGAAGTTTTTTCAGGTGACCTTCAGTTCCTCCCTCCAAGTTGCACCATTTCATGTATTTGTCCAAGGTCTGTGTCCAATGTTCACCAATGTTCCAATGGGCAGTTCACCATTGGTAAATTTGGGCAGTTCACCAATGTTCGGCACCATTTTGTTTTGGCGCCAGATGTCATTCGACCGCATGCAGATTGCATCCAGAGCCCAGTGAAGCGGATCCCTTCTCGCGGATCCCATCGTGGTTCGCACCACGCCTCGCAACCTTCAGCACATGCGAACCAAACTCGGTCCTGACGAACCCGAAGCACCGAGAGGCGGGAACCGGGCGTGCGTTCTTCGTTCGGTCCAGATGGGAAAGAGAGTGGCCCTGTGTCTTGTCGGACACAATCACATGTTTTTTCCGGCCCCGGATCTTTAACCTCTCTGTCTCTGGAGTTCATCCGGCGAGGACATGGTGGAGATCCCAATGAAAACACTGAAACAGAAGCCCAGGCTTGCTGTCTTGCTCCACCAGATGATCCCACACAGATGATCCAACGACACGCCGAAACCGGACTCACATGGATGACTCTCTTTGTAAAGGAAACAATGGTTCCCGGGTCATGAAATCAGGAAAAGGTTGCAAAAAACACGTATGAGTTCAAAGCACGAACATCATTTGTGCTGTGATATATGCGCTGCACTTTCCCAAAGATACCGCATTTTATTGGGTTTCGTCAAGACTATCACTGCTGCGCGGTCAGCACATTTGCGACCTCAAGAAAATTTTCTCATCAGGTAGATCAGCGCTTAGCGCATAAAAATGCAATTCTTGGGCTGATACGGCCCAAAAAATAAAGGAGACGAGAAATTACCAAACATCGGCCAAGAAAGAAGCTAGGACACACATGTCTAAAGGCATCAGTGCATCAAGAGATGGGAAACTCCGATAGCCCACCAAAGCGGACAAGTCCCTAAGGCGTGCAGGGCAAGCATAACTAACAAAGGACATAACAGCTGGAACACCTAAGCCTCAAACTGTTGTCCCTCTGTTCCATCAATGCCAACAATGCCAATAATATAACTGTTGATGGACACCTGATGGCCCACTGTTCGTTTGCTGTCTTTCCTGCTAAGAATTTCACCTATATATATAATGCGGGATTGATGTGCACCCTCCCTCCAACAATCATGGAAGTGGACAACCCCTCTTTGTAGACGAAAATCATGACTCTTCCCAGGGGTCGGTTTTCCACTTTCATGATTGGAGGCAGGATAAGTCCCTCAAAAGGAAAAAAAAACAAGACAGGGCCTCCTGAAGGATATTACCGAATCGGAGTGGAAAAAAAAAACATATATTCTTCGTACTTCCCGACCAGTCACCCTCCTTCCGCCGGGCAAAGGACGTCCTCGATGGGGCGATCGCAGTTGTCACAGGCACGCTTCGTGTGGTAGGCGATGCCCGAGATGGTGAGGTGGCACCTCAGGATGGTCAGGATGCCCGATGGTCAGTCAGAGTCAAGGAAGGGCTAGACAAGCTCATGAAGGATGAGCTGCTCTCCACGCTGTTTGGGTGACTTAAAGACGAATTGAAAGCCATGAAAATCAAAAATGTTCTTCTTGCATGAGCCATCTTGACATGAAAGTCCGCATGATACAGTATCCCTTTTCAGGGCCCCAAGACCTGACCACCCCGGCCCAGCTGCCCAGCTCCACTTCTGGCACTGTTTTTCGACGGCATTGTGCATCAGAAAAACACGGCAAGCGCAACGATTGGGTTCTGATCCTCATCTTTGGAGAATCGCTTGAGGTATTGTACGACGTGACCTTTCGAGCCACGATAAGCTCGCCCCGTCTCTTCCGTCTTGTGGGGACGAAAGAAAGGCATCCAGGCTTTGGGCTGAACTAACCATGCGAGCCGGGAGCCATGGTTTGACCTTTCAAGAATGGCTTCCGCATTCTTCCGCAGCTTTAACAAATGAAAGATAGCACAAAACATGTCGGCACAATGCCAAACCTACAAATTAAGTTTAATGGTCCATGTCTTAGCCTAGATTCCTGGCCGCATTCAGGTGCTTTCCTCGGAGGCCTCGGTCTCGTAGCAGCCCAGTTCCGAGGCCAAAGAGGAGCTCCTCCGGTAGAAGGCCTGGCTTCAGGAACCAGAAGCTACTAGGTTGGAGGCCATCGCAAGTAGGTTGGAGGTTATTGCTACTTGTAACAAGAAGCTACGAACGTCATATCCAAAGCTTTGGGTTCCCTCCATCCAACCCCAAACCACGCCGTGCCGGGAGACCGCGCGATCGTGGAGACCGGGGTCTCCCGCGCCACCCGGACGCCCAACGTGAGAGCCATGCAACTGGACCTCTGAAGGACTCAGCAGGTGAGCTCCTTTAGAAGGTACTAGAGAGGCCCCGAGGCCCTTTTCCAAACCCCGAGGCCCTTTTCGGGCCCAAAAAGAGCCGGTGCATGAGGCACAAGGCACAGAGGAAATGTGATCCAACCAAGTACCCTTGGCGTCATAGGGCTCTCTATCGAGGCGTTTTTTCTCTTCGGACCCTGACCCATTTCGCATACCAAAAAGCAATCGATCTCTGACCTTGTGCTGGCAAGCGCGATGTTGTCTTCGCTGTTCAACACCCCAAACTTGGTCACGTGTGATCATTTACCGACAACATGTTCGATGGTCATGGTACACCTCTGAGTAGTTGGAGAGCCAACACAGGTCACCAACACAGCTCTCACCCAAATGGTTCAGTTTCACCAGTTCACCATGGCTCATGTGAAACTTGGCCTCTAGAGCCCAAGTTCTTCAGAACCAAAGCTGGAACAGAGGAGAGTTTTCCACCTGAAGATCTCTCACATTGATCCTGCATCTTTTCTTTGGACTCACAGCCCAAAGATATGCCTCAATCGTCTCAAAAACGGGGCACCTCCCAGAAACCACTATAGTGCAAAGAACAAACATAAAGAAACTCATCTGAACCATGCTCGCACTGTCGCAGTCCTGCCTGGGAGCGGTGGCTCAGGCCTGTCTCATGTAGGAGCTCATGAATCGCATGGCGTGTGATCTCTGGCAAGGACTCATCTTTGTGCTCTGGCCCACCCACCAAACCTCAGGTGCAAAATTGCCCAGACCGGTGAGGGCTGTCCGCGTCGCTGGGTGTGTCTTTTTGATGTGATATTCCGTCAACCAGTCAACACACATCGGAAAAAAGGCTCCTGGTGCTGCCACATCTGAGACTAATTCATAAAAGTCGTTGTTGCTCCATCGGACTTGTTGCTTTGAGACAAGAAGCAAAAGGATCAAGCCCAAGGCCTCTTCGCCCGTTTTGTGCATGTGTTGGCAGAGCGCCCCAAGTAGATCCAAAAGTCAAGCCCGTGTCAAGAATGCTGGAAAATGTATCGATCATTTTGAAGGACTATAGAAAATGCATAAAAGCGCAATATGCTAGTCTATGCTTAAGTAACAATCTCACTTGGTTATATATTTTCATCAGCTCGCAACTCCATTTGTTGAGGCTGCATTGAAAAAGAAACTGGAAACCGAAACATATGAGTAGACCTCCTGGCAAGAGCAAACTGAAACTAACGAGATCTCCCTGTGACATATACATAAGCCTATAATATCCTATAATTTTATATGTATGAAATATCCCATAATATCATCCAATTATAATCCATTAATATCCACCATATGTTCATTCTGTGTAACCATTTCACCCCTGGCTGTCTCATCAAACCAAGAAGCATGGCCACAAGATCTTCCGATCCACCGTGCCGCCGCAATTCCGGATGCAGTTCATCATGTGACCCGACAAGTAGTCTTCTGGGAACTCATCTCCTACACCGAAGCGGTCGAGGAGAACCCGCGACAGGCCGAGGCACCGAGGCGGACCGAGGCACCGAGGCAGACACGAGGCTGACGAGACCCTGCTCTGATGGACTACGAGTTGAGACGCGTGTCTGCGAATGCATGAACAGGTTGCATCAAACACTTGAACAATTCTCAGATTGCAGACTGCGTCAGAGATGAGATGTCGGCAAGAGCAGTTGATTCAACGAAACATCACAAGGGAAGCAACATAGCAGAAGGTTGCCGTTACTCACATCCTTTCACAAGGCTTAGTCGTATCTTTAGTCGACATTTCTCACATCCTGACGTCTTGTGCTTCAAAAGGTGCCCCCGTCAGGACTGCATGGCCGAGGCACCCATCCGGATGGACAAGCTACTCAGTAGACACTGCGTGGTGCCGCCGAAGATCAGAAGAAAGACGCAGATCACCACCAAGGTACCTGGGAGCTTCGGTCTGTGACCTGATCCAAACACACACCGCAGCAGCTGCGGGGGGGGTGTCGGGGACGACGGACGGAGTCGGCGACGAAAGCAGGACCACTCCACGTCCCCAGCCACGAACGCTCCGCGGGGCTCCTCCCGGTGGGGTTCGTGCCGAAGGCCGAAGGCACTGGTGACCAAGGTCTCCTTGGTGCCTTGGCCTTCCGTCTCATCGACCCATGGGCCCAGCTCCCAACAGAGCACCAAGGCAATCGCGCCTGTGGCGAGGAACCGCACGGCGCCACGGAGCACGGAGCACGGTCCAACGGGGGACGAACCCGTCCCGTGGATCCACCACTGCAGCGGGTTCGACTGCCTGCAAGTGGCCCAGCTGTTGTTTTTTCCATGTTGGTGCCCCGTTTCAACGTGTTGATTTACTAGCCCCCCAAAAAAGAGGTGATCTATATGGGGTGTCCATCAACGGGTCGGCACCAGGAGACCTGAGTTGACCCGCATATCCCACCTCAAGATTGCTCGCTAATATGGTGTTAGGGGCCTACCTACCAGGTTGAACGGCCCATCTCAATACAGGATGTGGGAGAAAACCGTACTACAGTACAAACCTCTCCATGTCTAGCGGAGCTGGCTCACTCTCTGGACTTGAGAGGCTCCGGTTTGAGGAGGCTCCTTGCGCTTCCTAGAGGGCGCAAGAGAAGAGCATCAAGCTCAGGTGATGTCCTTCTTGGAATTAAGGGGTCAGTGCCAGGTGCCACATCCCTATTGGATCCTACACTTCGGGGGTAGGTTGATAAGTCAGTCAAAGCTTCTGGATGCTTCGGGTGGATGTTCCGGTCGGGAATGAACTCCTGAAGCGAAAAAAAAGGAACCAGGAAGAACCAGACTCCACCGTTGGGTCTCGTGGGAAGCCTGAAGAGGCGATGCCTGGCTTCGCCAGTTGGCCCAAGGGCCATCCCCAAAAGCTGGCGACCTTCTGACATGACCTATAGCTGATCAAAACACCCGTTTTCGCCAAAGAACACCCCTGACCACTGATGTGACCCAGCACCACCGTAGAGCAAGATGATCTTCCAAGCCAGCAAGCTCTGGCAGTTTCATGGTGGAAATAACCAAAGGGAAACCTCAAGCCATGCAGGATCTGCCTCTCAAGCCAGCATGCCACATCATGAAGAGATGCCGCCCAGAGAGCAGAAGCCATTCCTGAGTCGATGGGAACCCATCTTGGATTTCATGAGAGTTGATCCAAAAACACCAGGAATCCTAAAGAATTTGGGGAAAGAAACCCTTGTTGCACACAACAGGGCGCCTTTTAACGTAGACATAGGCAATGACATGGCACCCTATTCAGGAGCTTGATGGCAACAAGTGGCCAATCCAAAGAAGTTCCAACAGCCCACAGGTTGCACCTCCCGAACAGCAACCTCAAACCAGATCTCCAACACAAATGCACCACACAGAACCGAACCCGGACTTTTTGGGGTGTTTCTCCACCGGTCACCGCGTCGCGGACCAGGCCGCCCGGTGGGCTCTTCTGGGGCCGGTGAACGGGATGGGTCGTGAAATTCTGAAACACCTCGAAAAATCCATGGGGCGAAAGAAACAAAAGACCTGGTATAGGTCAACCGGTGCCTCACGTGCGACCAGCCAGATGCTGGTGTCCCAACACTTGCTGATTGATTTCGAGTTGTGGTGCACGGCTGACGGTGTACTCGTCTGCGTTTGGAGGAGCTAGTTGAGGAGTTTCTACCTGACACAAACAGCTGAGCATTCTTTCCCACTCGGGGGGGTCCATGTGTGTTTTTTCTCGAAGGCCTGATCATCATCCAAAAATCATGCGTGGGTCAACGAGAGCCCGCCGTGACCCGGCAAAAAAGAAGAGGTTGTGAACCATGTTAAGCTTCAGGGTGCAATGTTTGGAGTGATTCTACATCCACCGTCCCCTCAAGAATGGAACCACTTCATGAAAAATGCCTTACTATTCACTATTCAATACGCCCAAGATGATCTCTCCAACATGATCCAGTTCGCCCGCACCAAGTGCCACAGTTTTGGCCGCCCGTTTGGGCCTTGCGCCGGCCTTTTCTCACCGTTGCTCACCGTTTCGCGCTCCACCCGAGGAGCCGACTCGTCCGTCTGGCGTTTCATTCGGCCAATGGCCACCTGAGACGGAGGTTGGGACCGGGGTCGGTTG